AGGAGTGGTACAGTCACTCACCAGTCTTGATTGTATCCTGGGTATGTCACAAATACCATTTTCATGTGTAAATAGATTGCGACTCGCTACCACAGTACCACCTGCCTGTCACTTGTGGAATCAGTTCAGCCCTGTAGCACCTGCTTCTGGCCACTGTCTTGTCTGCTGTTACCCGTTGTTCTCCATTATCTTGTAACAAGACCTGGGTCCCTCCAAGATTGCAGAATCCTTCCCCAGGGTACTACCCTGTGTGGTTTAAAGTAAAAGGTTCGGAAATGTGGCTAGTCCCAGGGAGGCGCAGAAACAGGCAAACTATTACTAAATATCTTTTAAACTTTTATTAAAGGGCTTCTACGTATAAACTATAATTTTATCAATTTCTTACATACGTAGGCACTAAATAATTATTAGAATGTCCAATAAGCAAAATGCAATACAGTGAAGAAAATTCTTTGAGGTTTCTCTAAATCCCAATAGTTGTTAACAAGGGACTAGGGATTATTAACAGTTACATTTACATCAGTCTTATAAGACTAATCATTTATCTAAAACTTTTAACACTACTACTTAACAATACCTCTAAACAATTTCAGATAACAATACTTACATTTAACAGACACACAAACTACAACAACAACATATTTGGTATTCGTTATGTTTGGTATACGTTATGCTCTACAGGAACTCGTTTGGTTCAGTGAGCGGGAGGTGGCCCTCGGGTGATCAGTCCTCGGACCTGGCTCATAGTCCTCGGACCTGGCTCATAATCCGCCATCCAATGTTTATTCGGGATTCCTCAATTTGATACAGGAGGGGAAGCTGTTTTATAGAGAAAGCTTTTGCGCGCTTTTTGTGATAGGCTAGCAGACCCTGTCTGTTAAGTGACAGGAGTAAGGGGGTGAGATGGTTTCCTGTTTTTCCTTTTCTGCCCTCTCGGGCATTGCACAGTCAGCACATCCAGCACGAACTTTACATGAACTTTTTGGGTCTGGTTTTGGTTCCTGTTCGTCGCTGATCTTTAAGTTATATAGGGTAAGGGTTTTCATCAAGGGGAAGTTGACCTTTTGCTTGGATGGCAATACGCGCGAGAGGCCTGGCCAGCAAAGAGCCTGCTTTCACACCCTGTTGCAGTGCTCACACAGTCCTTCCCCTCAGGTAACCTCCTACTTTCTTTGCCCACCTTGCCTCAGTGATCCACTGCTAGTCATCATCTAGCTTCACCTCAGGGACAAAGTCTGAAATGGTCACTATCCATGGCAAGGAGGGGTGGACCTCCTGCCTTTTGCTGCCCTGGCTGACTCCCTGCATCTCACTTTCAGGCCTGGGCATCATTGTAGCAAGTATCTGTCTCCCCTCTCTCCAGGAACCCCTATTTATACAGTCTGGGCCCTAATTAGCTGCTACTCGGCACAGCTGTTGGTTCCACAACCCTAGCCCTCTCCTAGGGTTGGATTTAACCCTTGATTGGATCAATGTGGGGCAGATACCCTGTCACAACAAGTAAGATTGTCCCCGCCTCGATTTCTGACTCTTTTTATAATAGTTATAAACAGGGCTCGACAAATTATGGAAAACCTTACTCGCCAGACAAAAAAGGGACTTGTCACCCTCCCCCCCAAAAAAGTGTTTTTTTTTTAATGGCATAAATTCCGAATAAGAATAAGAACAGTAATTACTAATACGTTCTTAATAAATATCACCCAAGTTATTAATAAATATCTTATACTTTTTCCCTCTGCTGCCATGTCTCCTCCCTTTGCTCCATCAGCTCCCCTGGTGCCTGCTGCCCCCCAACCCCTCACCCTCCTCTGCTGTCCTGACTCCTGCCCTTCTCACTGCCCTCAGCCTTCCTGAGACCTGCCCCCCGCCACCAGCCCTTCTATCCCCGCTGTGCCCACTCCTCCAGTAGTCTCACACTGATCATGTGAGCTACCCCCTCCTCATCCCCTCTCCTAACACCTCCCTCTATACACCTGCCCTGCCTCTCTCCTGGTGCTGGTCCCTCCCCTGCAGGTGTCTGCCCTTCTGTTTCACCCCCAGAATCCCCTAGCACCTGCACGTTCCCTTACCCCTGCACCCTCCTGGTGCCTCCCCCTTCCCTTACTGCCTCTGCCCCCTTTTTCCTTGATGCCCACCCCCTCACCACCCTCTGCCCCCATTCCCCTCATTCCCCTGTGCCCTCACACATGACTTCATCCATCCCCACCTTCCTCATGCCCATCCCTTCTTTCAAGCCTTCTCCCAGCACCTTCCCCTCCTCCCTCTAGCCCCCAGTGCCCTTATCCTCTTCTCTCCCAGCATCACCATGTTCCCCCCTCCCACTGACACCTCCCCTACTGCCCTTTCCTAATTGTCTGCACTTGGCCCCCTGGGATTTGTCTCTCTTGCACCCGTCCCTTGGTGCTTTCCCCCTTTCGTCGTCGTCTTCTCCTCCTGACCTCTTCCCCTCCCCTCAGCACAAGCCCCCAGATTTTTCACTCCTCCTGACCTCTTCCCCTCCCCTCAGCAAGAGCCCCCATATTTTTCCCCTCCCATCCCCTCCCCACAGCCCAGCCCAGCCCAGCTGCTTCCCCTCCCCCAGGGCCAAGCAAAGCACCCCCCCCCCCTTTTTGCTGCCTTCTACATCTTT